GCCCTCCGTCTCCTGTACGGCCCATGATGAACATGTAAAACCCTCTTCTCTTAGTTTGACTCTCAGTCTTCACCTCTTTGTGAAGCCAGCCTGAGAACTTTCCGTGGTTTCTGGACTGATATATGACTAAGCAGAGAAATGTGAGTCCAATTAAACCACACTCAGCTTTTCCTGCCTCTGTGGACGACGCCGACGCAGCAGCAGCAGCAGCAGCAGAGCATGTGCCACCTTCATCTGCCCCTCAGTGTCTCAGCCCAGCCTGACATGAACATAAAGTCCAACTTTATAAAAACACCAAACTGAACTTAGATGGAGCAGCAGCAGCAGCTCACGGCGGTGTTCTGAGATGGAGATGAATTATTCTAGAGACTTCATGGAGGCTCTGATTCAGCACGGCCAAGGTAGGAACAGTTCTGTCTTCTTACCAAAAGGTGTCAGCACACAAGTACTTTATGGGGAGTCTGAGCGCGCCCGGAGGTTTGGGTGTGTCTCTCAGCGCCTGGATCTTTGTCTGGTTTATTCTGAGAAGTTCAGTGATCGTCTGTTCAGAGGAAAAGACTGAAGCTGATTATAGTTCATATCTTACTAAACTCTGCAGACCTTTAGTTCAGACCGCCTGGCATTGTCTGGGATCATGTTCCCTCCTGGTGTTAAGTCCAGGGGGGTGTGGGCGGTGGGCCGGCCCCTGACTGGCTGCTCCGTGTCTCTGCCTTACACAAGATGTAACGGGTGAAGGAAGGTTAGCGGAGAGAGGGGAGAGAGGGGAGAGAGGGGAGAGAGGGGAGACGGGCCTGGGTGGGCTGAGGGAGGAACCACAGCTGCATAGATAACATGCCTTCAAGATAGGGAGGCTGTGATGCTTTAACCGGGACGGTCCGATCTGTTAGTTAACTGTTGGGCTGTAACCACGGCAACGGGTCGAGATCTTTCACTTATTGCTGTCTTTTAATACAGAAATAAAGACTTAAATAATGGAGCATAAAACAGTGAAGACATAAAGAAAACAAATTAAAAATATGAAGTTTTTATCTTTGTGTTTTAAACCAGATTATTTCACATCATGATTCAGGGATCCTTCAGAGGATCTCTCCTCCTCAGACTTCACGCTGGTCTGCAGCTGTGTTGTTGTATCTGTGTTGTTGTATCTGTTGTCTTTCCACTGAAGCCCAAAGTTTACTGCTAACTCTAAATATCATGAAATAACCCGTCTCTAACTCCTGTCTCTAACTCCTGTCTCTAACTCCTGTCTCTAACTCCCGTCTCTAACTCCTGTCTCTAACTCGGGGTGTTTAACCTTTGCTTGTGCGTGTGGAGCTGAAGATGCTGCGTTAAATTTCATGCAGATGCTTCATCATCTTTAAGTCACCATGTCAGTCACATCTGCTGTCAAAATCAAGTACAGATCGATCCCGTCTCTGAGTTCTGATCAGTTAAAGTTGATAAATGTGGGTCTGGATGGTCGTAGTAAAACAAAAGTCTCTGTTCTTTAGTTTCTCCGTTATTTTCCAGCCTGGATCAAACGTTCCTCCTCTCCCCGTCAGAGATCAGAGCTGCAGCTCCGGCGGTCAAACAGAGTGACTCGCTTCCTGTGGATGTGGGGGCATAACTGTCCGACTCTTTTACACTTCCCATATTGAAGCCTTTGTCACGGTAGCTCGCTGGCAACTAATCCGTTTTTCCGCTCTTTGTCTAAATCCTGTTAAAAAGGGAGAAAGTCTGACTGGGAGTTTCTGCAGCTCGACTGGATCTGATCCAATGACGCTCAGACCCCACCGCGCCGCAGAGGCAGTTTCCACTGAGGAAAGACTCTCAAATTGAGTCAAACTCGCAGCGCTGTCTGTCTCTCTGCTTCTCCTTTTTCCTTTTTTTCTTCCCCTCGTGCTTTTTCAGCACGCCCCCCCGGTTTTCATCAGAACACAATGTCGTGAGGTCAGATCTGACTCCTTGGCAGTTCAGTGTTTTCTCTAAAAGTTGTGGAGACGCTGAGGAAGGATGGACCTCTGCTGCTGTCTGTGTCCGGGACCGAGACTCGGTAGGTTTCCTCTTTACTGGAAAATCTTATTTCAGACTCTGTGTTTGTGCTTTTAGGGATGCTAGACGGGGACTTAACGGGGCAGAGATGGATTCCTTGTATAATGCATGCCATCCGAGGACAGAGCCACTCCCAGCATCAGTCTGGCTTTAGAGAGGAGCGGATCAGAACCACCTCAGACATTCCTCTCTCCGCTCACCTAATCCTACCTCTCTGTCCTGATTAAGACGGTTAACTAACTCTTTTTAACTCCAATCTCATGTGTGTGTCGGTTAAATTACCTCCGTGTGGGTATGCAGAGTATGCATCACAATATGGAAATCATTGAGCCAACACATGTGGAGGGAGTGGGAGTGGGAGTGGGAGTGGGCTGACTCCTCCCACAGAGGAGTGGTGGGGTGAATGTGTTCCAGACCTCTGAACCTCCGTGTCTCTGTGGTTTTTTTCTCCTCTCTTCACTGTGACGAATCAAAGCTGCCGGGTCTTTGAGACTTTCTGGACCGGGTTGAGGTCCTATAAGGTCTAAACCAGAACCTGCTCCCTCAGGTCTAAACCAGAACCTCCTCCCTCAGTCACATCAGTCCACTTTCCTTTCAGCTTCTGTTCCCAACTCTTTTAACCACTTTGTCATGTCAGGCCTTTATTCCCTCTGACTCGACTCGGGGTCGAGGTTGTTGGGTCTATTCCTGCTCGTTTTATAGACCTGAGCGGCGCGGCCCTCCTCGTGCGATCGCCACGCTGGTGTCGGGTTTCTGTCACGATGAGAGTCACGCTGTTTCTACTGCACACCGTCTGATGTTCCCGCTCCCTGATCCGACGCCGTTTTGCCCGCAGCCTGATGCTTTTGATGTCCCAACAGTGAACGGAGCAGCAGGTGTTGTGAGCGTTGTTGTGTTTTCACAGTCAGAGGCTTTAGTTTCTGCACATAACTCTGAGCGCTAAAGTGGCACTAAAGTCCAAAACTCGGGCTGCAGTCTGAGAGCTCATGGGAATGTTGGAGTGATGGTACAGAGACAGTAATTACAGCTGCAAATATCTAAACGACTGAGTGAAGTTAAAAAAGACATTTCCCCTCAGGGCTGATTCAACAACATGTGAGCAGAAAGAATGAGAGGCACTTTCTAATTTTAGGGTGAAAGAAATCCTCTTTCTGTCTGAGCTCAAAACAGAAGTTACAAAACAGAGACGCCGATTAAAGAGCCAGTGAGTCATTTTATCACTGAAGTTATGAAACTCTGTCCGTGCAGAAACAGTTTTTACATCCCTGTCAGGAACTCCTGATTCATCAGGATGAACCATCAATCCTGTAAAAGTGCGAGGAGGGGAAATCTGCACATGATCTGTGATTGAACGTGAACCTTTAATTATGCAAACACAACAACAGCCGACATTCACCTGGAGCTGTTCATGTGTTTCTGATATAAATAACTCCTCATGAAAGAGAGTCTTAAAGGGATATTCCGGCGTAAAAGTTAGTAAGTAAGTTAGAGTCAAACCCACCGTAACCCCGAGTTAGACCCCCCCTCCAGAGATGAATGTTGTCGACCGCTTGCTTCTCTAGTTTTATACCAACTTTAGTAACGACCGCAGGATAGAAATACACAGCGGTCTGAGGAGCCATAAACAAACCTCAACCAAAAAGGACTAAACACGACTCACCTAGTCTCTTCCAGCAGACGCTTGTTTGTAGGGGAGCCCTGACGAGTGGATCACAGAGTGCAGTGGAGTTTCACAGCTCAAGGAAGAACATTTATGATCATTTCTTTATCGTTTCCTTGAAGTAATAATCATCATATTAATCATTTTACAGACGCTGTAGTTCTTCTGTCTTAGCGTCTCGGTCTGATTGTATTTTCATGAAGAAATGATCATAAATGTTCTTCCTTGAGCTGCGTCACCCCGCTGTAGTCTGTAATGGACTGGTCTGAGGTCTCTCTACAAACAAGCGTCTGCTGGAAGAGAGTAGGTGAGTTGTGTTTAGTCTCTTTGTTAAAGAAATGAGTCAAAGTTAAAAAGATGTTTGGTGTCTAGTACTATGTCTGTGACCCTATATGTACTAACCTGAGTAGAACATGGTGTAGTTCCGTTTAGTAACAGAACCTCATTGGAAAATTAGCTGATTTAACTTTACTGTGCTCTTGTTCAGATATATTAACTTGACAGCACATAAATCTATACCTGTTAACAAAATCATGATTTTATTGATAATTCTGCTTCATATTTTACTACAGTAGAAGTTTATTGGCCCAGCTCATAGACTAAAGAGGTGGAGAAACGCCCCCGCTCAAGTTTATGTTGGGTTTGACCCTAAACTAATTTTACACCGGAATATCCCTTTAACGGTGAAAATGATGGTGCATCTATGAGTTAGAAACAGTTGTGGCCAAAATCCTCATTCTGGTTGTTAAAGGGTTAAAGAAGTTTCTCATGGTGGGAGTTTAAAAACAGATGTATTTCTGAGATTATGAAACAGTCGGTGGTAAAAACCAAATCTAGTGTAATAGATTTCTGGGAAGCTTATAGACGCTGGTTGTTCTGTCCAACATGAGGAAGCAATTAGGGTGTGAGTTATATAATGAGCATGAAGAGAGAGAGAGACACAGAGAGAGAGAGAGAGAGAGAGAGAGAGGGTTGTTTTTATTATTATTGTTATAGGAGAGGAGGGGGAAATAAAATGTGGAGAGACTTTAGTGTAAACGTTTTGGAAGCAGGAAGAGGGCTGTCCTCACATGAGCTGAGAGTGAGTCGACAACCAGGATGGAAAATAGTCTGAGGGGATTATGGGTAAAAGAGAAGGAAACTTTGACACCGGGCGCTCACTCGTGCAAAGTTTGGCTTCTTATCTCGTCTGACCTGAGTGTGTGTGTGTGTGTGTGTGTGTGTGCCCCTCATATATTATTAACTCCCTGCAGATAGGCTGCAGCAGGCGAGGAGGGAAACCTGCAGAGTCAGAGTCCCTGATGAAGAGTTTAAAAAGAATTAGAGCTGATTTTGGAGAAGGTGCGACAAAGAGAAGTGGGGAAGAAAGAGGGTGATTGTTAGAGTAAAGTACAGGGGAGACGGGGGAGGGAGGGAGGGAGCTCTGCCAGCGCTACCAGAAGGACTGAGTCACAGCGTAGAGGAGAGGGAGGAGGGAGGGAGAGAGAGGAGGAGGAGGAGGGAGGGAGGGAGGGCGCTCTGTTCACTCTTCTCTCTGTCGTAAAAAGTCACGGACAACTTGGCCGCTCAGCGCGTTTTAAAGTCCGGGATGGCACCACACCCCTAGGCGCATAACCCCCTCCCCACCACTCCCCCTCACCTTCACTCCCCCCCTTCACCACCTCCTCCTCCTCCTCCTCCCGGCTCTCCCACCTGTTTTCTAAGCCAGGGGACTCTCCACTTTGTACCAGGCCCGATGCCGGCAAGCCCCCCTGGAAATGTGTTCCCAACCCTGGTGGTTGTGGGTCACATCGTTACCTTAATCGCTGTGTGGAAGTGGAGAGTACGGAAGAAGCAAGGTAAGAACCGCAGCAGAACTCGCCTTTCTTATAGAGACGTGAATTTACTGCCTGAAGGAGAAGGAGAAGAAGGAGGAGGAGGAGGAGGAGAAGTTTCTCTGTCTGAGTCGTTTTCTCTCTCCGGCTGTCCTCGTCCGTCGTCTCCGCTCTCTCTCGTCCCTGTGTGTGTGTTTGTGTGGCGCTCGCTCTTCGTTCCTCGCTCCTCGCTCCCCCTCCTCTTCTCCCCTCTCACGTCTCGGTTTCCTGTGGTATGGAGATGTTGACGTTAACCCTGTGAGTGCCGGCTGTGATGACGTAGGAGCAGGAGGATTCTGGTTTTTGTCTCCGTCAGGTCTTCGGTGTGCTCCATCCTCCATCCTCAGCTCCGCTCTTGTTTTGACTGGTCTTTGGTTGTTTCTCCTCGGTGACTTTAATCCTCTTTTGTTGTCTCTCCTGTCTTGTTATTCGGCTTGTTGAACCAGTTTTTCACTTGAATTCCTTCAGAGTTAAAAGTGTTTCCTCCTCACATACCAGCTGCTCATGGTTCGACCCTCTCAGAGCCTGAAGGTTATCTGCAGACATGTCTTTATGTCACTGGGCACACCTCTCTCAGGATCGGTTTACTGTTGACACGGCTCGGCACAATGGCGGCTGTCAAACACACCTCTGCAGGCGACACACCCTCCGGCAAATTAAAAGACGGCGTGGAGGTGAAGAGAGAGGAACCAGTTTGGCCAGAGGGCACGAATGGGAATATGATCTTCAGTCAACAAGGCAGCGCCGAGACGAAGCGCATCGACCTCAGCTGCACTGCAGCGATGAATCAGGAATTTAATCCTTGATAATCTCAGTTTATCTCAGACATTTACAGTCTTTGGACCCGAACATATGAACTCGTAACCACTTTAGCGAGAACGGGTCTGTTAGTGTTAGCTAAGGAGTGTAGGGATGTAACGGGATGAAATTATTGCAACCAAAATAATCATGGTTTTCAGTCTTATTGCGGTATTTTTAAAAATGTCACCAAAGACGTTTTTGATGCTTTTAACTAGGGCCCGACCGATTTATCGGGCCCTGGTTAATCGGTAATCGGCCAAAACAACCAAAAACCCCACACGCACACCACGGTTTTGAAAACTGAGTTACCATCAACATTACGCTGGTTACCGTTACATCCCTACAGGTGTGCAGTGTCAGGCGTTAAAGTGGCGTGCTGCAGACTCGGGATGCCAGAAGACGAGGGCACCTTCGCCTGTTTCTCCACACACACCTGCCTCACTGAAGAGCGTGCCAAACCTCCCAAAACACACCTTTGTAAAGTCCAACCTCTCTGCACACTGCGCTCCCCAGATTGTGCGCCGCTTAACTAGCAAAACATGGTTGTGCAATTGACTGAATTGAACATTTCGTTCCAGATCAAACTTTGTGCTTTTATCGTGCCGAAGACTGCAGTGAATCAGGCTGCGCTCCTTTTAGCGCTCAGATCGTGCGCCGCTTAACTAGCAAAACATTGTTGCGCAATGGACTGAACTTATCGTATATTTGAGGTCTTTTGAGTTGATGGTTCTTGATCAAACTTTGTGCTTTTGTCGTACTGAGCTCTTTGTCCTTTTTAACATCTGAAAGTCTGTGAGATAAATCCTAAAACGATCATTAGCTGCAGCCGCATTTCAGCGAATCAAGCTGTTAAAAGTTTGTTTCACCGCCTTGAAAGGGTTTATTGTTTTACTTCAACTGGAGCCAGATCCTGTACTTTTCCTTTATGGCTCCCAGGGGCCCGGGTCAGATCATAAACCACACATTCCCTTTTTAAAGGAAGTGAAGGAGGACACACCTTGAGTAGATAAGAGGAGTTTTCAAAACACCACCTCTGGATGAGGAAAACCTCGGGACTGATCCCCGTCTCTCTGTGCAGACTGAGCTTGTGTACTTCTGTAAACCCTCCTCAGGTGATCGGATAAAGCCGATGAAGCCCGCCCTGCTGCGGTGAAGTGGTTTGACTGGTAAATTAGGGGCGAACTCTGCAGCACAAAACTAGGCCACCCACTATCTCTACCTTCAGTCAACATCCTGCATATTTGCATCGGTGGAGATCTGCTCTCAGCTCTGAACTCGCCGCAGTGCAGACAACAAGTCTCCACCCAGTCTGTCATCATCGCTCCGTCCGTCTGTCTGTCCGTTAACGGTGTATTTATATCAGAGGAGGGGGGGGGGGTGTTTGCATCGATTTCTGTCCTGCTGGAAGTCTTCTCATTGTTTACATTACAAGTCAAACACGAGCGCCGTCACATGCTCGATGTAAGGACCCTCGCCGCGTCAGGACCAAGGTGCCTTTGACGCGGTGGGAAGGTGGAAGTAGGTAAAAGGGTTTTAACGCTGAGCCAGGGTTAAAAAAAGCTCAGCATGCGCCACACATGGCGGCCGGCTAATGGTTGTAAACTCGACACTGGGGGGTGGGGGGGTTGGACTGCGTATCCTGGAGACGGTCATAACAAACTGAGGAGGAGGAGGACTGTGGTTCTCCTTCAGCAGGCCTGATCCTCTGCTGTGTTTACACCTGAATAATTAGAGACTCATTAGCACTAAGTGATTATTTGTATGAATCATAAACCGTTCCGAGCCCTGACTCAGAGTCCAGACTTCAGACACGCCCCCTTTACTCAGACCTGTTGTCTTTTCGCTGGTTCTGAGCCTCCAGATTTCCGCCGATTATTTTTTCAGACTTTAAAAACTCGAAAGATTAAAAAAACCTTCAAAACTCTGAATCTGCCAAATCCTTTCAGGAAGCCCCGCCCTGATCTGAGACCCAGCAGGCTGGCAGCTGCGTGCGGGGCCACGTGTGGCACGCTATAGGACCGGGTTTGGGTCTTGGCTTGTGGCGTGCAGCTGTGAGTCACCTTCCTGTCTGCTGTCTCTGTGGCAGACTGAGAGAGAGGGAGGGAAACCCCACTCTGCTTTAACTGAAAAGTGAAAAAAAAAGTCACGCTGTAATTGAAGCCAAGTGTGGAGAACAATAAACGCCCACCGTGTCCCGACATGCCCTCCACAATAAGGGATGTACACATCTGCGTCAGTCATGCCAGAGTATCTCTTACTTCTCCATCCAGAACACTGTGTTCCCTGACGGAGGCCTCTGCTCCACTCTGACGTCTCAGTGGTTTTCTCTGGACCTCGTGGTGCCGGTCCATGGTGCTTTTTATTCATCCATGAGTTTCTTAAATCCATTTAATCGTGTTTTAAAGTTTCAAACGGCAAAAAAAGTTGAATTTTATTTTCTTAAAGCTCCTGCAAGAAGTTATGAAACCGGCTAAAATTAAAACAGAGTCTCTTTATGAATAAAAGAATCAAACAAAACCATCAAACTCAAGATTAGTTATCTGTATGTGGTTCCTTTAAATCCTGAAATTTACAGGGAAAAATCAACATGACTCAGGGAAACCACTTTGTCCACAGGGGGCGCCAAAAGCAACACTAACCAAAAGTTTTTCACGGGAGCTTTAAGTTTTTCCCATGAGAGTTAAAATCCAGTCCAGTCGTAAACTCCCTTTAACTTAATTTTTAATTACTTTTTCTACTTAAACTACAAAATTAAAATCTTAAAGCTACTGTGTGAGATTATGCATTTCTTTAATTTCAGAGACAATGGCCAGAGAACTTTTATTTATCGGCGACACATTCACCAGGACAAAATGACAAAGTTAAACTTTTTTGTCCAAAATCAAAACAGAGAGAAAATTTCCCTACAGGAGCTTTAAAACTGTTATAACCAGCTTCACAGGAGCTTTAAACTGTCCCATCAGAATTAAGACCAATCCGATCGTGAACTCCCTTTTACTGACCTTTAATTATCTTGTTACTCGTTCATATTTTCTTGTTTTCCTTTGAGTGGGTCTCAGCTGCAGTGTGAAGTTTGCAGACTGAGTGTTTGTGTTGACAGTGAAGTCAGATTTTATTTGGAAACCACGCCCACTCGATGAGCGGTTTACTGCCGTGACCTCAGGTGTGTTTACGGTCACAGCTGCAGCCTCTACCTGTGCGTGAATGTGAGGTATTTCTGTGGGAGTTAATTTATGACCCACAGCTGCTGTGGATGTGGAGGAGAGTGAGGAGGATTAATGAGGCTGTCGGACCTGCTCTGTGGCCCCCCGTGAACCCGCGCACACACACACACACACACACACACACACACACACCATGATGATGATGATAACTGAATAATCTGAGGAGTCCTCGTGTCGTTTCTGTTTTGCATTAACCGCTCTGAGGTTGTGTAATCGTGGGAGAGGCGCTAAAATAAGGTCCAAGTGTAGTCCTCCCCTCCGGTCCGCGTGTTTTCGTCCCTCTGCGTGATTTCATGGCACGAATTACGCGCAGCGCACGGAGGCGACACCAGAATCTGTCCGCTTCGCCCAGCCACACAAAAGTGGGCCGGGCCTGTGACAAGGACTCTGCAATCTGATCCGACCCTCTGCCTTCGGTTTTTTCCTCCATGTGGCTCAGAGAGGGGAAAGTTTTGAGGGCTGGACCCACAGGAGAGAGAAACCCGCGAGAGAAACGAGGGGGGGGGCGCGTGCTCTGTGTTTACGCGCGGTGAGCAGCAGCAGACGCTCATCGGAGATGGCCGGGGTGGAGGAGACGGTGCGCGCGGCGGTGCCGGCCTGGCACGAGGGCTATGGGATGATGTACCGACGGACAAACTACATCCACGAGATGAGCTGCGGGGAAGTGGGTCCGCATCTGTACAGCCGCATGTGCTGCGCAGGTAGGTCCGAGCGCTGCGCTCCGCTGTCCCCGTCAGCTTTCTGTGCGCGTGTGCGTCTGTAACAGGAGGAGGTCCGGGCTGGGAGGGGCCGCGGGGGTGCTGATGGGGAGGACGTGAACAGTGAGCGTGCCGACACCCACAATACAGCGAGT